TCCATTATGAGAAGCAAAATGGCAGCTCGGGTGCAGGGGACTTGAGTGGAGGGAGATGTGCGAAGGGGCTTCCCTGTTCACTGGCTCCCTCAATCCTGGATGCACGAGAGAACTCCTAGGTGGAGGGAGTGGGGGGAGAGAAGCGAAAGCAAGCAGGGCAAAAAGTTAGAGCAGCTAGCTCTGGCTGAGAAGGAAGAAGGCTTTTGCCTCAAGCAGCAACCCCATCGCCAACCTTGGAAGCCACTAGGAGGAGCCTTGATGGGCAGGGCCTCTAGAAGTGTTCAGTGTGCAGAACACTTTGCATCCTTTTTGCAAAAATACCAGGCTGTTTACTCTCCTCCTCCTGCTTTTTTGTTTTGCAAAAGCAGGCCAGACATTTCCTGAACCCATCCACGCCGCTACTTTATCTTTTCTGCACACATAGATAGCTTTCAACATGGTAGTGCTCGGAGAGGGAGAGTGGTGGAGTGGTACAGGAACTTGGGGGACTGCAGGTGGTGCAGTGGTTTAAACCGCTGTGCTGCTGGGCTGGTTGATCGAAAGGTTGCCGGTTTGAATCTGCACACAGGATGAGCTCCCGTGCTCTGTCCCAGCTCCTGTCAACCTTGCAGTTCGAAAGCATGCAAATGCAAGTAGATAAAAAGGTACCACTTCAATGGGAAAGTAACAGCGCTCCGTGCACTTTGGTGTTTAGTCATGCCGGCCACATGACCACGGAGACTGTCTGTGGACAAATGCTGGCTCCCTTGGCTAGGAAACGGAGATGAGCACTGCCCCCAAGGGTCAGGCATGACTGGACATAACATCAAGGGGAAACCTTTACCTTTTTACAGGAACTTGGGCTCCACTGGCTAGCATAGCACCCAAAATGCTAGTATGGAGGATAAGATCAAAGGGGGGGCGGTGACAGAAGGACCAATGGAGACCAGAAGAAACAATGTTGCTCTTGTGTTTTGGTCAGAAAGGGACAGAAAAAGCAGCAGTAGACGGTGCTGCTTGAGGCAGTGGCTTTCAGGGAAAATTCCTTGGTGGGGATAGCAGTAAACAAGCAGGTAGGAGGGTTGCAGGCTGCACAGAAAGAGGTTAGAGGCCACAGGTTGGTAATCTCTGTTCTAGGTGTTGGGGAAGGTGCAAAAGTGTGTCTCCCTTTGTCCAGTGAAAAGGAGTTTTGACAGCTCCTTATACAACCGTATGTCTCAATATGTACTGTATGTCCTAAAGCACCAGTTTCCCTGTCAGGATCCCCCTTTTTTTGGGGTGGGGGGGGCAAAGTAATTGCGCAAACCTAATTACCAACCAACCCATGGTAAAAACCTTACAAAATCATTTGTGCATATTTATATTGCATCTCTCTTGGGGAGTTCATGGCAAAGATGACATTTGACCCTAGAGCTTCTGCATTTTTAGTTCAGTGTTAGAGCATAGATCAATGCTTCAGAGACAGAGGGTTCCAATCTGCCAGCAAGAACAGGGGTTTTGTATTCTGTGTTTCTCCATGTAAAACATTTCCATTAGTATTTACAGTGAGGCACCTCTCAGCTCTTAGCTGTCTTACTAGGTGGTAAGTGAAGACAGCAGTGGCAAGGATTGGATCAAGCTTCTCTTCCTCTTGTCTGCCTTGTCCACCAGATTGTCTCAATTGAATAGAATGTCATTGGTACCCTGCCTATTGAATGGGTTCCCCAAAGATGTGCACCTGGGGCCTACTCACTATTCCTTCCAGCACCAAGTGAAAACTTGTTCATTCCCCCGGTATTTTAACAGCTAACTTTAACTGTAGTTTCAGTATTGCATTTTATCATATACTGATGGTGTACTTCTGTGCTGATTCATTTGCAATTGCTGCATTTTTATTGTCTTATGCTATTTTTTGTTTGTTTTTAACCTTTGTTAACCACCTGGAGTGCCTTGGCTATTGTGCAGTATAACGCTAAATACACATTTTAAAGAATAAATGAATGCATGAACGAATGAATGCTGGTTAACCAGCGACAATCATTCCATTGTGCAGAGTGGGTGTTCTGGATGGGCTGGCATTTTGGAGATGATGAAAAGCAATTTTCAAAAAAGAGGTGTAGAAAAAGCCATGGTGACCGTAAAAAGGGTTGTGATTGGAGCAGGGGAGGGCAAGCCAACGGCATTGCTCAAAACTGGTAGTCTTGCTGAGCTCACCAAGAGCAGCAAGAGACTTTTCCTGCTCTTACTTGACCGACTTGCTATTTCCTTGGATGCATGGTAGAATTTATGTGCTGGGTTTGGATGATATTGACAGCCATTGGATACTCCTAAAACAATTATAGGTTTTCAGGGTGGCTTGCTTATTGTCCTCATACAAGGACAATTGTGGGAAGCAATTCAGATTCACAGAAAACAAGAACCCACTGTGGCTATTTATCCAGGATGGTTTGCCATGTTTATATGGACCCAATCTGGAAGAAAATCTCTGATCTAGAGGTGGCAAGTAGAACTGTATTGCTGCAGTTGAAAGAGCCCAGTGCATACTGCCCAGAACATGGTCCTTCTATTCTGGAAACTGCTTGATAGGCTGTCTTCCTTTTTTTCCTAAGGTGGCTGTGGGAGACGGGTGAAGCAATAGATCTAGATTCTGCCTTTAAAGATTGTTCAGTTTTCAGAGGATGTGCACAGTGGCTGGAATTGCTTGCTATTTCTTGCTCCCTGCAAGGAGAAGAAAGAAGATTAATTAAGCCATCTCCTCTGTCTTCAGCAGCCAAGCAAATGCAAATAATCTGGTTGCTTCTTTGTTTTTATCTCTCCTTATGCTAGACAGAAAACACAGGCAGGATGGTATGCTGCTTTGTGCTCTCACTCTCATCCCATTTTCCCAGAGAGAGAATGGAAGCCCCTATGCTAATCTGCTGCCTGCAGGATATTCTTTCTTATCACATCCAAATTTAGTGAACACAGTCAGAAGCAGGCAACCATTTTGGGCCTGTGGACACATTTGGCAGTTTGAGAACCATCCTGGGCACCACCTTAAAAGGGTTGCCAAGGGAGGCTTGGCTAGTCCACAGATAGCAATTAATTTGCTCCTAAGACTGAGTACAAGATTAGGCATAACAGCAGCAAAGCATAGGTTAATTAACCCTTGATTTGTCAGTGTTGTATGTCATCATCATTTTGAATATGCAGTCCTTGCTTTAATGTTGTTTTGTGACATGTGAACCCAGACACTATGGGTTAATTGTGGGTTAACCTATGATTGTTAAAATTTCATTAAAATGGTTAAAATTTGTTTTTAATTAAGAACTTAGTAAATTTATTAGATCCATTAAGAAATAGCTAAAATAGCATTTCTCATTGTCTTTGTTGATTTAGAAGAATAGGAATATAAAATTTTGAGAGATGACCCTTGAAAGGGGTTATCCCATAGTTAATGTATATAGGAGCTGAAGGCAACAATCCTGTGGTCCATGGAGTGTATCCCAAACATAGGGAACATAGGAGTTCTAGAATTCTCTCTTCCAAAGGTATAGTGTTAAAACTTTGGGCAGGATCTTGCCCGCTTTCTCCAACCCCAACCCTGCTACTGTACTTGTATTAAATGGGCTCAGAAGCCTGCTTAGAAGGAAGAAATGTAAAAGGGAAATGGAAAGGTATATATTGCCTCAGTTGCTCCTCCCACCTGATTGGCCAGCAGGATATAGGATACTCTGAAGCTTCTGAAGTTGGAGGCATCTGGCAGCCTGATAGGGTTTTGCCCCAGTGCAAATTTCATTCCTGCTGCTTCTTTAGCAGTCATTCTATTTGTCTACACTGCTTTAGCTATTAAACTTAACAATCCCCATCCCCTACCAAATGTTTAGTTAGCACAATGTTCATCAACACTTATTTTCCTCTGTTGTGAGGTTTCCGTTTTAAAAGTGGGACTAGATCAGTAAAATCTTGATTGTTTTCTGTGCTTTTCATTTGTGCTCCTGTGAAAAAGAAGTTGCTCATTCATTTTCCCAGGAATTTGTGCCAGTGGCTCATGGGGTTCTTGATTGATTTACAGAACATAAATTAGATTGTTCAAAAATTTCTACTGCGGGTCTTTAATTAGGTACAACAAATGTCAATTCAAAAGTTTCTATACTGTTTGTATTATGTTAAACCAGCAAATTACTTGTACACCTGTGCTGCTTCATGTTTTCTGCACACAATTGTGTTAGCAATTATTATCAGTCTACTAGTATATTTATTAAGCTCTGCATTCCTCATGTTAAAAATACAGGAGGGAATTTTCTTGTTGAAGATGTTCTTAACTAGCATATGATTGTTAAATTGTGTGAAAACTTATAGCTAATATTAGTTCACTGAGAATAAGGTAATGAGAAACACATGCACAACTGGAACACTAGTGTGCAGATAAAGTCAGTATTGGATTAAAAGATACAATTTTTATAAAATTGGCAGTTGTCATGAAGTAATGCAGTATTATGTTTTGGGGGTCATTTTATGGGCTTCAGGTAGCTTTTATGTGGTTTGTATTTTTCTCTGGTATCCTTTATTTTCACATTTGGATTTTTAGAAATGTTGTAACCCACAGTAACAAAATGAATGCTCTAAAAAGTAAAATAGCAGCAACACAGCTGTTCAGACAGAATGATGTTGCAATGCCTACTGTAATAAATACATTGCCTGTAAAATGGCAGGTGCTTGGTTGGTTGCTTAAGCCCTGGGCCACCACAATGCTTTTTTAATGCTGTTCTGCACATTACTATGACAGGAACAATGCTGCTGTGCTGGTGCTGAGGCAGCATCAAAGGAGTTGTGTAAGCATACCAGGCGTTAAGTAGGCCTAATCTAGGGAGTTTTTGTTCTAACATAAAATAGGTAGTGTTGTTAGGCAGTACTGAAATAATGGTTCAAATGTAGCCTCAAAGCATGAAAACACTCTTTATTTATACCTTATTCTCGTTTGTTTATCAGTTCAATGCACTTCAACAGTCATTGCTGTTGACAGTATAAAAGTTTAATGCATGTTGACTCTTTCTGTGCAGGTTTGAAATCTCCAGATGAGTCATTGGCATATTCACCTCCAAAGGATGCTTCTGAAAATGACCCCCGGGTAATAAACCGGCAAAAAAGTTCTGATTATCAGTGTGCGTACTCCACATTTTCAGACATACAAAAGGGAAGGATGGAAGATGGAGCATATACAGGTCAAGAGGAGAAATGTAAAAATGAGGGTGAACTTGTGAAAAATCACTGTATGGCAAATGAACACTCCATAAGCAGAATAATCGAAACAACAATCTTAGAAGAATACAATCTTTTTATCAGTAAGATCCAAGATATTCTACAACAGAAGAATATTATGTATGTTGGTGGAATTTCCAAACCTGTCCTTTCAGCTCAGGAAAGGGTCATGAAACTTTCTGAATATATATGTTTACAGGCATCAAACATTGCTGTGCAGGAATACGTAGAGAGACTGAGTGAAAAGCTCAACACTGTTGCTTTGTCATCTTCATATGGTATCCAGAGAGTGCCAGTTACTTCAAGTCCTGGGGCAGCAGATGATTCAGTTACTGACACTGAATTGAATCTGCCCGCAGAAGAGCTTGTGCTTCTTCCAAGTGATTTTGATACAGGACAATATTCAGAGTTACCATGTAATAATGGAGGAGATTTAAACACAAGTGAGCAGCATCAATTGCCAAATTTGGACACAGCAAAAGAACAGAGTCCGGTGAGCCTCAATACAGAGATGAAGTTAAGAGCTGATCCAAACATGTCTTCTACTGACCCTCTGCCACAAACAGAGAAGACCCAGAAGGCTGTAGATAACTCAGGCATTACAACCCAACCTGCCTTGGCTGGTTTAATAAGTCAATTAAAACCTGAAGTCTTTGACAGTATTGTCAAAATTATTAAAGATGTTCAGAAAAACATTGTGAAATTCTACATTCATGAAGAACAAGAGAGTACACTTTGCAAGGAAATAAAGGTATGCTTCCCCTTTTTAATGAAGTCCATGTGTGTATAAAAGCTAGCTGCGTGCTTCCTAATGGTATTTCAGGGTTAAAATCTTAGCTTAGTGAACCCTTTTGTATTTTCCATTTGAATCATATGTTTTTAATAAACCTGCCTTGTTAATATACTTGAAATGGTGTAGAAATATAGTTGCTCTCCATTATAAGGGCAAAAACTATATGGAATTGTTTAAAACAAAAATAATATTTATAGTCTGATAAAAAAAATCCGATGCTTGAAAGCATTTTCCTTGTGCAAATTAAATGTGCTTATGTCAATTTATCTTTTGGATGCTGCCCGACTAGAAATTGTTTGTCAGTTTTACAATAATATAATATTGCAGGCAGAACAGTATAATTGAAATAATACTTGTTAAAGGGTGCTGAGTATGCAAGCATTATGATTGTAAAGCAATTTGTTTTACTAGGCAACATTTATTAAATACATCTTGTAGCTCCACCTCCATACTAAGTTTCCTGATACTTAAGTACATTTAAGGTTTCAAATTTGCTGTACTGATTTTAATCCTTTCTGTACTTGGTTCAGGAATACCTTATTAAATTAGGTAATACAGAGTGCCACCCAGATGAATTCTTGAAAAGAAGAGCTAACTTGGATAAGTTGCTTATAATTATTCAAAATGAAGATATTGCTAATCTAATTCATAAGGTATGTAAAATATGTTGCCAACATTTCTGTTCATTAAAGTGACTCTGATAACTTATCTCTTGCTGGGAATATCTAATAGTGTCCTTGCCATTCAAATCTCTTGGCAGTTATGAGCTGTATTGATAAGCATAAGCACAGTGGAATGCAATGGCTAATGTGTAATCTCCACTAATTTATTTTAATTGTATTATTACCATTTGCTTTCTTTAGATACCATGTTTAGTAGATTTGAAGAGACTCTCGTGTGTCAGTTTTGCTGGTGTTGACAGTTTGGATGATGTGAAAAATCATACCTATAACGAATTATTTGTTTCTGGTGGCTTCATTGTCTCTGATGAATCTGTTCTTAATCCAGAGTCAGTCACAGTTGGTAAGATTTTAATTTTGGCTACATCCAAGGACAGAGTATGAACAATAGGTTTAGATTTTTACCATGTAATTTCCGGGAACTCAAGTAATAAGTACCAGTTTATTTTTAAATTGTCAGTGGTCTTGTTTTAAAATATTGCTTGTGGAATTCAGTTCTTTAGAGTAGGATTATTTACGCCACTAAAGAATGCTAGTTGAAAAACATTGTTCAGTCATACTAGCCACAGGCATACCAGTGTGCTTTCTCTGTTACTGCTCTTTTCTGACTTGACCTGAGGTCCAGCAAATATTACATGGCTGATCACTGATTGGAAGATCAGGAGCATACAAAGTAGGCTTGCACTTTCAGCCTCTTCTCTTCCATAGTGTAATGAACCATGGTTGTTAAATCTGCATCCATGCTAACTCTGGGTAGCACTGGATCTTCACTTACACAGATAGCCTCACTTCATGTGATGGTTAATGTTAAGCATGGTTAACTCCAATGCCCATGTTTAAAGCAAATCATGGAAGGGAGGAAGAGTTTGGAATGAAATTAGGGGGTGTTAAGGAACCTGTATACACTCCCAATCTCCTGACTGTAATTAAGAGTTTGGGAATGTTATGGATTGTTCTGTTTGATGCAGTCTATCATATCTTCCAACAAATGATGTACTATTGAGTCTGGCATTAAATACGTGAAACAGGAAACTTTTATACCTATGAGTTCAAGGAATTGTTTAGCTTTTAGCCATTGTTTACTGTTTTTGAAAACCATGCTTTATTTAGAAGCAATCACCACATACAAATATAGTAGCACAGTGGATAGAACAATAAAGCTTTGCCTCTCATAACTACCCAATGCTTCTGAAAATTTTGTGTGAAACAAAAATGCTAACAATAGTTCAGCTATAATTCAGCTAAATTTAGAATGCTATAATGGAAAGAAAAATAGTTTTAGATGCCACTGCCTTCTAAAAGGAGGCATAAGACCTCCTCCTTAAAAGGAGGTCTGCTGCATCAGACCCAAGGTCCATTTAGTCAAGCATCTAGTTTCTCATAGTGGCCAAACCAGCTGCTCCTAAGAATATTACAAGCAGAACACCAAAACAATAATCTCCAGCTCTTGCTTCTGAACTACATTCAGTCACTGTAACTGGTAGCTGTTGATACAGTATATCTTCATGAATTTGGCTAATCCCCTTTGAAGCCATCTACCCATAGCTTACTTTGTTTTTAAAATTAGATAAACTTAAGAGTTTTCTGAAGTTCCTTGAAGAACTGAGTACTCCAGATGGAAAGTGGCAATGGAAAGTTCACTGTAAAATACAGAAAAAATTGAAGGAGTTTGGAAGGCAAGTATTATTCCTTGGGCATATCCGGGTATTACATTTTGGAATAATAAGATTCTAGAATATAGCCAATTTTCTGTTGAAATAGCTTCCTATTTCACTGTTTGCCTCTTTTTTAGCTGAACTCTTTGGCTTCATGCTCATGTTAAAATCCAATTTTTAACCTTCCATTTGCCAAGTCTCACCTGTGGATGAAACATCCACTCTATAGTTGCTTCCTTCTCAGATTAAAATCCTTGGGGATGTTTTATGAAGTTCTTTTCCCACTAGTCATAGGCTGTCTTTGTTCGTTTGCTTATTTTGTTGTGAGGTAACTCAGTTTTCATTTTAAATGGTGGCTGGTAGTAATTATCCCTTTTTAGAGGAAACCCTCCAAGAAATTAGGTAAACTAGCTTACCTAAGATGCCTGTATTATGGTAAATACACATAGCACGCTTGCTTTTAAACAAAGAAGATTCCTTACTCTTCCCCTACAGAACAAATACAAATGCCACAAGTTTGCTGACACTTCTGAATGCTTACCAAAAGAAACACATGGTTGAGATTCTTTCGTATCATAGTTGTGATTCTCAAACTCGAAATCCTCCAGAATTAGATTGCCTCATAAGACTTCAGGCTCAGAATATACAGCAAAGGCACATTGTCTTTTTGACAGGTAGGAAACCACTTTGGAATTGTCCTTTAAAATGTATGTATGCACACATATGTATATATGTACTGAAGCATGCTTTTCTTTTCTTTTCTTAGAAAAGAATGTGTTAACTTTTGAGTCTTATGCTAGTAATGGAATTGTGGTTACTACAGTTGATTACTTCATGCACAATTTTAAAAGCCTTGTTGGCTACCATAATTCAATTACTGAAGACAGCTGCCTTCCTGCCCCCAATGATCATGAAAGACAATCAGGTAATAACTTGTTCCATTAATTTTGGTTACCTATAGATAGCTAGAAATGTGGGGGTGGAAAATCTTGGTGTTTCCACTTGTTGTTATAATTGAAATAGCAATAGGTCCAAATTGTACTTCACAGTTAAAAGTGGAATGTAGTGCTGTGTGGCAACTTAAAATTCTCTTGGTATAATGGGGTATGCAATAAATTCCGATGAAACATAGTGGGGTTATGAGAAAGCTAGTGGAGATTTGTCAGAGAGTGAGGGTGTCAGTAATTGTGTTACGTAATTTTCCATATCAAATACTGACCTAATGTATAACTTTAGATGCTGTTTTGACATTAAATCCTTTGGAGCTGGAAGTTGGGGTTTCCCAACAGTAAGCATGAACACATTTCGCAGAAGCTTTTAGCATCGGAATATCCGGACGCTCACACAGAGGGTTAAATGTGTGTTGAGTAAGTGAACAAAAATGACAGAAGACCAGCCCTTAAGTGATATGCGACTTTCAGACCTGAAGCCTAACACTGTGTGAGTAGTGCGTAGTATTTTTAAACACTTTTTTATTTCAATAGAGTAGGATTTTTCTCTTCTTAATGTAGTTCTTGTAGAAAATGATGAAAAAGATGAGGAGGACATGTCTTTGGATTCAGGGGATGAAGCATCACAAATAGAAGTTTGCAATGATGCCTCAAAGTATGATTCCCACTTGGAAGCTTTTCAGACAGAGACCAAAGGATCCCTTGGAACAGACTCTAAGCAAAACTCTCAAACTGAGACACGGCTGTCTGCTGAAGGAAGACACTGCCTTCTGACAGAAAACACTTCTAAAATTGACATGCAGGATATTCAGCCAGTTACTCCTGTTTCTACGACATGCTCTACTGAAGGAGAGAGAACTAACTCAGTTGAGCAAATTCCTCTCAACAACTTTCAGATTTACAATAGACAGTTAAGTGTGCCCCATCAGTTCAGTCATTTTAATGTTCTCACTCATCAGACGTTTCTGGGAACATCATACCCCATGTCTACAAGTCAGAACCAAGAAGGTGGGAACTACTTTCTGACGGCCTACAGCCAGAATATAGATATGGACCAGCCTTCATCTCCCAGTACTTGGGATGTCAGTTGTGAATCTTCCAGGGCGTTTTCCAAGCAGAATTAAGCAAAGCTGAAATGTTTTTTTATAATTTGTTGTGGACTTTTCTGTTTAAAAAAGTGAATTAACTGTTTCTATTCTCCAATCTAAACATTTCCTGTCTCTTATTCCAAATGTTTTCTTGTCTTATTTAAATCATGAATGGTCTGTAACAGGTGAAGCACCTGAAGTTTGAAATAAATATATATTTTTTAACATTTATTGTACTTGAATGAACTTGTTTGGCACTTTTACGTTTTTACATTTTGTAGTTCATGTATAAATGAGACTTCCAACTCGAAGTCTGTCTTACTGTAAAATGAATGTTTGCTGGAAGCATATGTGAAAGATGAAGGCTTCATTTTTAAAACAAAGTGTAACAGGATATTCAAACCACTTTTTCTTTATCAAGGCTGTTATGTACGTATGTGAAAGTTTTGTACAAAATCTTTATATAGCTATAAAGGCAGTTCTAGTTACTTTAACAAATATCCTGGATTTTTGGCTACATACCTCAGTTAGAAAAAACAATGGGTGCAATTCATTTTGAAAATAATAATAAAAACCATCCAGATGGGACCTAGTAGCAAGTTGCATTTTGTTTTGCAATCTGTTTCCAGGAAATGGATGCAAAAAATAAAGGTTCTGTTTCCTTTAACAATATAAACCAGATTGTGTTGTAATCAAAAACATATGATATATGCAAGGGTACAGTCCAAGACCAAAGTTCAGTTTTTTCATTACAGTATTTTAATATTAATCTGAGATGCAATACTTTTAGGTCTATCCTGTCTAGCACAAGTGAACTGCAGCTCCCATCAGCCTTGACCAGCATAGCCAACAGTGACTGATAATAGGAACTACAGTCCATCATCACTGAAATTACTGGGATTAAGAATATCTAATCCTGCATGTGAGCTACATTCTTAATACATATGAAATGTAATTTCACTTCTTTACAACCTGACTTGATAAAAAATATTGGATTTTTGAGAATTTATTGAAGGTCTCCTAACTGGAGAGAAAGCTATGATAAATAATACTAGGGCTCTGGCATATGTACCAAGGTGTCCTGTTAATTAATTGGACCTTAACTCTGTTCATGGTGTCTCAAACTCATTTTCCTTCCCTTACAGATGGGCAGACTCCTGCAATATAAAATAACATCAGGCTGCATAATATTTCAGAAAACAGAATAAATTATGTCACATTCCATCTGCAATAAAATGGCAGCTCAAGTGCTGTTGTATAAAGAAAAATCTAAAAAGAACAGAACCAGTATGGTGTACTAGTTAAGAGTGCAGGACTGAAACTCTGGCAACCTGGGTTCTAGTCCCTGCTCAACTGTGTAACAGACTTTCAACTAGCTCACAGGATTGCAGTTATGAGGAAAGGTGGATAATAGGAGGAGGAGAATGATGTAAGCCACTTTGCATTCTTTACAAAAAGAAATAGGCGTGATACAAATCTAACAAAAATCTAACTCATTTAAAATAGGCATTGAATTGATTAGAAACCTGAAATGGATGCAGGTCATTTAAGTATTTTAAATGCATAGGTAAGGGAAGCCCTTGGAGAGAGCCATAAAGGTGAGCCAGAGCAAAGCAGACTTTCGTAATGGCTGAGTGTGTGGCTGAGATGCAAGGATGGAATGAATGGAGTAGTCTAAGCAGTATATTACGGACAAGGGAATGGGCATGTTAGAGTGGTCTTATAGGTGACATTTGTGCTGTGGTAAAGGGAAAGTAAAGGAGTGAGAAGGATGTTGCCATCTGAAGTCAACCTGAGGGAGCAGGTTTAAAATGTTATTGAAGAAGAGCTTGAATACAGAACTTGACTGTAGAGCAGAAGCTGAAAGTTGCAGTTAACATGAAGAGGAGGAGTAACATGCATATTAAATTCTTGATGGGATCACTAAAACAGGCTTGGAAGTAGACAGCCACCGTGTCAGTTACTGGAAAGAATTGTTTTAGTAATCAATGAGGCAGTGCAACATTATAAAGCTTATGTGAAATAATTGTGTTGGGCTAGGGGTAGGGAGACCCTGTTCAAATCCATACTCTACCATGAAGCTTAACTAGGCAAGCTCATGCCAGTTATCCTTTTATAGCCTAAGCTGATTGCGGGGCCAGGGGGTGGGGGGTGTAGGTTAGGATTGGTTTGCAAAGTTATTAACCTTAAGATTGTTCATTGAGCTTTCAAAGTAGAGACAAAGCCAGGGTTCTATATTTGAGAGAGGGTTAGGTTGATTATACCTTGGATGGGCTCTTTTGGGTAGAAGTACTTCCAAGCAGCATCAGGCCTCTGTTGATGGTACATGCCATCAAGCTGTCTCTAACTTAGAGTGACCCTAGGAATGAAATTGCTTCAAAATGTCCTGTCTCTGATAGCCCTGCTCAGCTCTTGTAAACTAAAGGCTGTGGCTTCCTTTATGGAATCAATCCATTTCATAGTTGATTTTCCTCTTTTCTGGCTTTGAGTTAGTTCCCATAATATCTGCAATGTTGTGTTGCGTTGGGGCACTGTGGGACATTAAAATGGCAACTCTGCCCAGCACTGAGCAAAGTGTTCAACCGCTACTATAATTGTTGAAGGCAATTTCATTGTCTTGCCTTCTTTCTCTTTGGTCTGACTTAGTTCTGTTTCAGGTTATGAGAAAAACAGACATTCCCTGTATTTAGCCAGTAGTACAATCCAAAATTCAAATCAGCTAGATGAGCAAAAAGGTGGCTCTTTTTGTTTTTTGTTCTTACAGGGGTGCTTATATTATATGCTGGTGCTATGGAAGTATTATGCTGAGTTTGCAGGAAAATAGTCTTACAGATACCTCGCTTTCTTCTGAATATCAAACCTTTTTTCATATTTATTTCCTGGCCTTCCTCACAAAATAAATGTTGGCTAACAGGGTACATGAAACAGTACACCACATAATCATGGCAAATATATAATTAAATACCATGAAACCATCACCAATCAAAAATAGATCTCTTGCTTATACCCCCAAAACCTGTTCAAATAAGTTAAATAACACTTTAACATGCACCCAAATCTTCAGCAGAAAGATTCCATAGTCAAGGTGGTGCTACTAAAAAAAGGCCCTACCATATGTGGTAGCCCTACTGGCCACATTCTTCAAGAACCTCATAAGCAGGCAAATCCCCCTCAACTGACCTTAAATCTCAGAAGGTGAGAAGTCTTGGAGAAGTTTTAGTTCAAAATTCAGGTTTGCTTGACCAGGCTTGGGTTTGCTTGGTTTGTTCTACAGCCATGTGATAACCAATCTAAAAGTAATAGATGGAATGGGATAGTTTTGCCTACAGGATGGACATATTCTAAGGCTATCTAAAGTTTACACTAAGCTGTATATATGACAACTGTAGCAAAAGTATGCCTGAACCGAGGGCATCTTGGTGGACAAACCATTTTGTATGGATGACATACTGATGGCCAACAGGAGCCTACATACCATAAGCTCTGGTCTTTGGGATGTATGTCTAATACAACAAAGAGGCATAATAAACATGATGATATGACCTACAAATTCGTGACCAGTTGGCTGAACACTGTGATATGCGTTCTGTATTTTTCCAAGTTGTGCAAGTGTCAGATAGGAGGGAAACCATTGGTAATAATGAATACTTAGCAATTGACTTGATGCAATTACAGCCATCCCCAACTGGTTGAATAAAGTTATAGCTAAGAATCATACCTATGATACTTAGTCACATTAGCTATGAAAAAGTTACCAAAATACTGTTTTCAATTGCAAAATTAAAAAAAAGTATCATTACGACAGAAGCAAAAACCTGATAGAAGAGACAAGGATTATATATCAGAAATGTGACACATTTTTGCAAAATTAACAGAGAGAAGATTGGTTTTAAGTGATCATTTTGACACATTACAATGATGGCTAGGGGAGGATCTGAGGAAGCTTTCTTGAGATTCATATTCTTGAAAATGTGATATGTTTGAAAGAGACCTGAAAAGCTATAAAGCTAAACCTGCTTTGTATACTAACCTGTAATAAGCTAAACTTATCTAGTCTTCTGTGCATCTTTAGAGAACTTTGAATGGAATTTGGCAAAATCTGGCAACAAATGCAGAATCTAAATGTTACTTAACATTTACCCACACAACTCATGTTACTGAAAAAAATAGTTGTGTCACTTAAAGTTGAGCGAACAGGCAGTCTCTGGGTTACAAAAGAGTTCCGTTCTAGAGAAAATAAATTGTATGTAAGTCGGATTGCATATAGCTAACCCTCCACATTTACAGGGGTTGGGACATAGGGCCCCCAGGAAAGTGGAAAAGTGAATATCTCTAGCCCCCTTCCCCACCCAAATTCACCAGTGCCTTCTTTTTGCAGCAAGGAAATCCAGGAGAGGATTTCCCTCTCCATATGGGTGGGGCATAAAGGCATGCTTTGAAGACCTCTCTCTCCCACTTTCTGGTGTCCCTCTCATTCTGTGGTGAGACTTTAGAGGCCCCTCTCTCCTCTTTCACTTCTTCTCTATGGCAATAATTTATTGCAGTAATTTTTTAAAATTAATAGTCTTCATGGTGGTTCTGGGTTGTCTGTAACTCTGGGACCACTTATATTTGCATTAGTGACTGCAGATCGTGATTTCACCCCCTTTATTTTAAGCTTTAGCACAGCAAAATAAAAGCAGGGTTAATTCATGGCTCTTCAAATGAACATCTTTTAGGAAATCACGATGATTATTCCGAAAATATAGCCACTGTTTAAAATGCATAAAGTTAGCACACACAATTTGAACAATTTAGTATCTTATATAATGCGATTTATAAACATTAGTCTCACATATAACCTGATATTTATTTTTATGGAGTGGATATAATTTATTTAGTTTATTGCTTTTGATCAAAATTTCTTGGCGCAAATTCATTGAATGTGACTGGGAACTTTTGAGTTCTTCATACTCTTGTCCTGTTAAGTCCATACTGATGGAAAGCATACATGACTTTAGATTTTAAGTGTTTAGATTTTAGACTAGCTGAGATATCTATATTCAACAAAAACATTTTATACTGAAGCATTTGTTGTATAGCTCAATAGTAAAGCAGGCTTGATGGTAACTAAAGAATTACTTAAAATGAATGATAAAACTTGCCACGACATTCAAATACCCAATACTTTATTCCTCATGCAAAGAACATAACATTTAAATTATTATACAACTATTCCATGTAAACAAAACCACATGCTATAGCACTGTTTCCAGCTAAATGAGTTCTTCCATCAAGTTTATCCAAAACTGATTTCTTATTTATTCATATTTACTGCCCTATTCCCATAGACTTTGGGTGGCTTACAAGAGAAGTACAAAATATGTAACCAGTTATTCAAGCATCCTCAATTAAAATGAACAAAAGTCCTCATTCTACAGACTTGGTTCATAATTACAGTAGTAAGCATAAAGTGCCAACATAGCATGATATCAATGTATCCGATGTGGAATTCTTAAAATGGTGAAATAAAGTTCTCTTCTTGACTTGTGCTGCTTGGAATAAGGCATGTCTCCAATTCTTTCTGCTTCTGTAGGAGACCCTGAAAAGAGAAATGAGTGAATTTTCCACAAAAGCCTTAAAACAGTTCTAAATAGCAATAATCAAATTAAAATTGGGAAAGTAGTAGTGGAGATACCCTAGAAAGCAAATGGCAGCTGCATTCTCCTACCATAGGTGGGACTTCAATGCTCAAGGATGTGGAACAGAATCTGAATTCAATGTTGTATTATATATTGAAACAAGTCACTGTATAAAAATCATTTCCTAATGGATGAGACAATAATGTTTTATATTCAGCTGATCTTACTGCCTTTTCACCCATCATTTCCCGTTTTTTTGTGGGGGGAGAAGTTTGGGCCAATGCTGTGTTTACTGCTTCAGGCTTTAGATGGTGTTAGAAGTGAAAGAAAAATACTGTTGAAATGAGGTCTAAAATAAATAGGACACAACATTTTGACATACTCATCAGTGTAGCAAAGCAACAGAATTTGTCCAATGGTGGTACAATTCTACCTGTAACAGATATCTAAATTCAACAGAAGATTTTGCTTCTATGGCCATCCATATGGTAATTTTGATAGTGTCTTTGTTAAACAATGCATCATCAGTATTTATTAAAATAAAAAGTGCTATGAACTAGTGGATGGGAGTTTGTTGAGCATATTTTGCTTCATCTATTTGAAATATTTTCTGGATTTGAACAAATGTAGCATGCTTGATTTTTCCTCAACTGCTATTGTGATGTCTGTACAACAGATACAACTCAATGTCTATTTTAATATATATTAAAGAACACATTGACTTGGATCAAAAGGCAACTGCCAGTGCTGCTCAATAATGTCTGATAGTTCAACATGTTCCTAATGATTGAAGAAGATTGTTCACATAGTGTTAAGTTCACTTTTCTCATGCACTGTTCTACAGAAAATGTAAAGCAGCCCTCTGCTTCTGCATTCATCTTCTGAGTCCAAACCGTGATGTGTTTGGCTTCTATGCTACAATTTTCCTGGCAGTCTTTAGCTATGCTTGCCCTTCTCCTCTCACCCCTCAACAAACATCCATAAAGGGCATGGAAGTACAGATGGAGTCCAGCTTTCTTTAAGACAAACATCCTGTTAATATTCACAAAATCACCTAAATTTACAGATCTATAACTTCTTGGAGATTAACTAGGAATGTAAACTCTAAAGAACACTGTTCTGTACTATGCTAGGATGCATCCTCTTTGTTTTCTTGAAGCTTCTTAATGAACCGCACTTATTTTCAATGGTGACCACAGAATGTTTCCAACTGTGTTATCACTTAAGAGGAAAATGTAAATAGGGTTGGTATAATTACATAAATAGTTATACTTTGAACTTTTTTGTAGAAAACATTTCACAATTATGAATAAAGGTAACTACTGTAAAGAAAAATCATTGTTTAATGATGCAGAAATATTGTTGTAGACAAAATAAGTGCATAAAAATAAAGGTGTTACATCTTGAGTTTCAGGCAAAACTAATATTAGTGTCCTTATTCTCCCAACATCAAGAACAGTGTGAAAACATCTCTGTAGAAGAAGTAAAAAGATCAGTAGTTCTTTTAAAAATATATAATTGAATGTAACATTTTATCTTTTTGAGGCCTAACAATTGGCATCCTTTCTGCCTAGATGTTAATTTCACTACCTTTGTCTGTCTATTCACTGAGATGGGTAACCCATTCAAACAGCAACATTTAGAACATTAGAAACATCAACAGGCAGGGTAGGGGGAGATTGCAGCAAGATTACAAAAGTTTAAATAATTCACAGGCACTTGTCTTTAAGAACAGAATCAATGTATCTAAATGGATCACCCTAATAGTAAAGAAAGCCTACACATCTGTCTCACTGCTTGCCATCGAGTCAATCCATCCCACACTTGGTCTTCCTTTTCTTCTTCACTCTTTGTTAACTTGATTGTTTTCTCCAGGGAGTTCTGCCTTCTGTACTGTTCAGGATGCATTATACTGTACCTACCACTGCACTGTGCACAGAGACAGTATCTAAAGAAAATATAGCCTAACATCTGCCCTGTCAACTAGTGTAAACCTTTAAGGAGCAAATTTGTCTTCTCAGTGCCATAGATTGTATGGCAATTAACTCTGGAAAAGAAGGCTAAAAGGAAATACTCAATTTCTGTTCTTAAACTCTATGGTGAGCAGGAGAAAGACACTCTTTGCAATCATCTTCACAGAAGTACATAGTGCTGTTTGTATAAGTTCATGCAATCACAGTCCAAGTTGCACTGACAGAATGAAGTCTGTGAACAGTTCACAAACCATGAATAGCATAACCCAGAGTTACCGTACAAGCCAGACAGCACGGCCAGTCTTGAAAGCACAGGAACTGGAGGTTTTCAAAGAAGCAGGAAATCATGACACAGGATTAAGAAATAAGCGTTTGAAGCCAACTGACCTTCATGCCTCCACTAACATTATGCAAAGTAAGAGACCTGCCTCAGGTGGCAGACAGGTGCCAGATGTTAAGAGCTGGCCTTGTGCCTGTAAGCTGGCCTGCTGTCCATAGGTTCAGCAGAGGACATTCTTCCATCACTTGTCAAAGATTCAGCTGCCATTATTGTTGGCTGCTAAATGTGGAATGACATTGCCGCCATCTTGCCTTTTCTATTGGGTGGCAAAATGTCTAATGTCAACCCAGTTAACACATGCTAAAAGCATATGAACACCACACCTCGTTCTACATACTTTTCGTACTGTAGCCCATGTAGTACTGAAGAAGTCAGTGGGATTCCTGAGAGAACTAAGAATTGACACGATACTGTGGGGTTCTTTTTTTGAATTTAAAGATAATTTTCGCGTTCATTTAAAAGTAGAGATAAGTCTAATTTCTAACTGAATCAATGATCTGCTACTGATTTCTCACTATGGGGTATCCAGATGTCTAGAGAAAGCAACAAGACAAAGAATCCAAATGGAACAAAGAGGAACTATATAGTTATTCAATCCAGAATATCTTTCAACCCCATCACTTTGAAGCAGGAATGAATCACCTGGTCTGTGTCACCTCATAAAAGTCTGAGCAAGTTTAATATTAGTAAGAGTTTACCCGATGAAGCTTTCTCGATTGCTTAAAGCTCCTTTACAACTGCAGCCCATTTATAGTCTTTGGCGCAAATGCAACTTGTTACTTTACTATGAACAGATGACAATAACGATAATTTCTTTATGCTGCAAATCCACACAAAAGAAAAGAGCAGAACTGGCTTAGGGGTTCTCGCTATACAAAAGACCAGACAGGAAGAAGAATACTGTTACTTGATAGCATCATAAAATAATAATATGAACAAAGGGCAGAGTAGCTAGAGATGACAACTGGAATTAAAACCATGGCAGAAGATTTTGCCCCCCTTCCAACTCCTATCCACCTTGTGGGAGAACATCAACTTAAAGGAAGAGATGTTATAAAAACTGAATTGAGTGAGACCATACCTACTGTGGTACCAATTCAGATAGACTGGCCTTCTCTGAAAGCAAGTTGTGAAATAAACGGGAAGACCCAGCAAGTAAGCAAGTGTGTTCTAACTGGAAGAGTGTGTCACAGCTGAGTGGCTCTAAAATGTGTGCATCCATTTATTTAAAGTGTTTTTATCAGGCAGGAGCTTATAGGTAACTATGAGTCTCACTGTGGGTCTCAGAGTAGTACACCATACTTCAAAAGGATAATTTGTTCCTGCACTTACCAGAAGACTGTTGCAAACCCATAATCCTACAAGTCTGGACTAATGCCAGCTAATTGTTAAAGCAAGTGACTTATATCTTCTCTGAAATGAAGGAAGACACATCTTCACAATGTTGGAAAACACATATTACCATAGAACACCTTCTAATGTTCAAGAAGAATGAGGAATAATGCTTAAAAGAGAAGATGTGTTGATATACTATTTCAAACCTGGAAGACAATGAAATGCCTCCCTTGAATAGGGACAGTCAAACGCATCCCATGATGTCAAACATTTTGATGTTAATAGCATGAGACCTTCAGAAAATATGAGTGGCTACAAGAGTTCACTGATCAGAAGAGCTTTGCCGTTCTTGCAGTACATCAGGAGGGATGACAATTTCATAAAAGTTGATGCTGCGAAACCGAAGAAACATTGCATGTGCAATGCTGATCATTAATGACGATTGAAGAAGATGGACAATATTTCTTCCTGTTCGCAGTTCTTTTCATCACTCAAGAACTCATAGGAGGCATATGTGGCTACTACATATTAATGGTAGAAAATCTTTGAAGCAAATTTCTTCCCATTTTCTGGACAAGTTAATTATGTAACCCTAGGATAATATAACTATTTGGGAGCATACACCAGTGGACCAGGCTATTTGTTCCTCCAATTCCAATTCTTCAGCAACTGTTTCATTAGTCTGAAAATAATGTTTCAGAAAGAAGGGAAGGAAATCTAGTGGTTGTAGTTTCTGCTTATCATTTCCAGCAATGGTACTATATATATATGAGATAGGCAATTGTATCTCAGTTACGGAATATAAGGTTTGTAAGTAAGTATACATTCTGTTTGTTCAGTTCAAGATTTTTAATCAGTTTCCTCCCATCCCATTTGTTTTATGCTTTCTTCAGCTAGATGGTTTTTATAACACTGCTGTTCTACTTTATGAATGGTATAAGCTATTTTTGGGGATTCTATTTAAAAGCTGGGGTACACATCTAAAAAGAGAAATTATGCAGTGGACATTATCAATAATGTAAACATTGATAATTAAACAGTCTCTTTCTTGAATGCTGAATTCATAAGGAAATTAAGTCTTCACTTTTGTTTTTAAAACTATAGATTACTTACAAAACCACTGAAATCTTATCTAGGATCAACAGCAAAGAGCCTGAGGACAGACACTGCAACTCTCAATGCTATAAACTGCAATAATATTTGTTATTTTTGTGAAGCATATGCATCTGTGTACCTTGTAAAACAGAAGTACACATAATCCAATTCTCTCTCTTACAACAGGTCACTTGACAAAAGAACATTCAGATACCAGATATTAGACATCTAAGTATTTACTGATGCCACTGTCAAGCACCAGAGTAAGTTTCATTGTGCTCTATTTTTCTATCTTTCATTTCTCTTCTAATCAATAATGCTATATACTTTTTAGTGTAAGTGTACAGCTTAGAACAGAGGTGGTCAATGTGGCACCATCAGGCAATTCCACTGGATCCCCAGAAGGGTCCCCAAAAGTGGTGGCCACAGGCCCCAAAAATATTTTTTGATATTTCCATCTTTTATACATCCACAGATTTATATACAATGCATACATCTTTCTAGAGAATGAACTATCCAAGAATTATCCATTTGCAAGTGGTGCCTCCAAATGAAACTATTGTAAGGTCATCAATTAAATGCAGCACAGGAGGTATTTATCTTTTCAATGTAGTGAGACCAGTCTTTTTACTGTCAGAAGGAAGCAGTGAATCCATTTACAATAACTACATGCAGTCCCCAAGTTATGAATGCCAGAGTTGCAAACCTATAAGTACAAACAAACTGCCATAAAGCATGTATTTTTTTAAATTACTGCAGGAAATTGTCATCATCATACAGAGAGAGGAAGTAAAAGCGTAGAGAGGGAGGCCTCCAAAGCAGATCTTCCTGCCCCACCCATCAAGAGAGGGAAATCTCTCTGGTATTTCCTGGCTACAAAGAAGTGGCACTTATGAGTTTGGGTAGGGGTGGCTAGAGCTGTTTGTGGTTTTTCCATTTTCTTAAACACCCGTGAATGCGGTGGGCCAACTATACCTGATTCGACTTATAAACAAATTCAACTTAAAGATGAATTTCTGTTTTCTCAGGAATGGAACTTATTCATAACATGGGGACTGCCTGTATTTGCAAATTTCCATGAAGCAGGTAAAATTATTTAAAAGACCACATACGCCAGTCAATATTAAAGATTGTTTCAGTATAAAATTTATCTATGCAATAATCTTCTCCAAAAGGAAGGACACTGCCAAAATGTATGGTTAAAAGAACTATTAGCTATAGCGCACCACCAATAATTATCTGTATTAAACAGAGCCTTATTAAGATGTTCTAGTGTCCAATAAACACAAAAGAAGCATTTTTGCTGAGAACAGTGCAGCCTGAGAACAGTACAACTCTAAGATCCATAGAAAGATAGATGCCAAAGAGGCAATGCACTGATTGGGTATTTTGAGGTGGTGCCTGCAACAGTTTCTTGAATTCCCAAATGTGTCCACAGGTCCAAAAGAACTGGTGACCTCAACTTAGCATGTTTGACATGGTATATTCATAGCTGTATTCAATGAAAAATACATCAGATACTATGAAAATCTCAGAGTCTATACATTATACAAGGTGATAGAATTCTCAGGATACCACTTTAGATGGCAGTTGCGGTGGACACTCAGTTTTTAATTACTTCTCTCCATGAAAAGTTTGGTGGATCAGTGAAGAGGCTATTCTAATCTTTGATACATGACAGTGGATGTTCAAGTGATAACTCTTGGAAAAATACTATTCTTCTGTAGTGATACAGTCCAGAATTCTAACCTAATTCTGTGCATTATGAAAATTGGCTGTAATGTGTGCATGGATAAAGTTAACATAGAAATCTTTTTTTGTCTCTCAGAGGATGCAAATAGAGAATAAGAAAAGAGTTGGATGTTAAGAGGGTAGGATGAAAAAGGAACCCACAAGGAAACAAAGATGGATCTCCTAATTTTGCGCATGCAACTTAAAAAAACTAAATAATGAATTCAAGCTAATACTGTACCTGTCGTAGCTCTGAAAGTCCTTTGAGTATGGCCTGCTGTCTGTTTCTCACCACATTAGGATTAAACAGTGGATCCCTTACATGATCAGAGCTAAAAATTTGCCGTGGTGTATGGTAAGCATCTAAAGACACATAAAAGTGAAACGTACTGTAAATGCTATTGAAGATTTTAATCTTTTTTAAATGTCCTAATTTCAAGTGAATGTAGAAAGACAATGTACACATATGTTTCTAAAATAATATAGTGTTACTGCTGTTGTAGAGCGCTCTTATGTATGAGCCTCCTGAAATATTCAAAGCCCTAGATACAATATTACCACTATGCTCTCTATCCTTGGGGCCAGTGTTTGCCATTTTCTCCAAATTACATTGCACTAAAACCAATGGGAGAAAACTGGTCTATGTTAGTTACAGGAAAAGCAGAGGTCATCGGCTGCACTGGGGATCATCAGCTGTGATGGGGACATAACTGAGAGCCAAGAGAGCTGTTGAACTCTCCGAGCAGGCCTCCTTTTACTCCTTCCCAGCAACAGCAAAGGAGCCATGCATGGGTTCTGATGCGAATCCGTGGTTGGCTCTCCACTCCAAGAATGAAGCTGTGTACCCACCTTGAATAGGGAAGATTCAACGAAATCTATGGCCTTTGGCCCAAAGATTGTAATCTTTAAAAAATTACTAAAAATGTATCAAAAGCAGTATTTAGGACAGTCTTCCCCAAAGTGGTGCCCTTCAATTGATTTGGACTGCTGCTCCTATCAGCCCCAGTCAGCATGGCCAGTGTTTAGGGATTGTTGCAATGGTAACTGCAAATATCTGGAGGGTGTGACATTGGAGAAGGCTGTTCTAGGATGGTATTTGCTCATAAGTTACAAGATTTTCAAGAATATATTAATATTTTATGTGAATTGTTTCATGTTAGACTAACAGTCCATTAGAGTAAATGCTTTTAGCAAAAGAAATTGGAATGCCAAAGTATTCATTAATCAGAGACATTCCTTCAACTCTTACTGTAGTACCATTCAGGTGTTCATATTGTGGATCATGCGTTGAGGGTCTAGTCATGGGTGCATCCGGATCAAGGTAATATACTTCATTCGTTCGCACATAAGGAACAAAGTGAGATGAAGGCGGCCTTTCCGTTTCAGGACTTGGAGGAGATCTTTCACTTTGATAGGTATTGGTACAGATGGTCTTATCTCTTCCATCACTGCCATCATGTGGTGGGAGATCAGGAGATTTCACTTGTTGCTGTAATCTGTTTTTAACTGCTGGAACAGGTGGTGAGTTTGATCTGTTTGAAAACAAGCACAACAACTTGATCGCCATAACTAGATTCAAGAAGAGGGCTTTGTTTGTCTTCTTCACAGTGTTAATACTAGATTGTGCACACCGGAGGCTTGGCATTTCTTATTTCTTCTCGCTTGTTGAATTGTCTCCAGCAAAACCACTGCGATGCTACCATAAATCCCAGGTATGTTCCCTAAAATCTTGTTTTCATCCCCCAAAGCCTTAGCTTTTATTATTGTACTCTGAAGCAGCAAACCACATAAGCAGTAACCATATTTTTATTTCCTGTCTTTCCTCTAAGTTGCTCAAGGTGGCATCCATGGTCCCCTCCACAGTTAGCATCACAATAACCCTGTGAGGCAGCTGTAGGAAGCAGAGCCAGCCTTGCTAGTGCATTTGTCAAAGAATTCCTTACATCAGAAATGTATGCAGCTTCAATTAAAAAAGGGAAAAACAGTGGGGTTGATCCGAGGCCTTTTCTGTACAGAGCACCCAACAAAGTTTATCAGTGGAGGAAGTAGGCAGGACAGCAATTTTTGCTGATCTTCTGCTTCCCATGCTGTTCCAGATGCTTCCCTGTAGCAATGTTTCAGTGAGCACCACAGGCTCTAACAATGAGGAGGAATCACACGATTCATATACCCCTTCTTCCAGTGCCTGTGGAACTACACTAAGTACAGGTCTGAATCCAACCAAGTAAATGAAGAAAAGCATTTGCTTGATTGTTAGATGAGAGTGTAAATCAGCAGGAATAAGGTAAATGCTGCAACAAATCGCACAGAATCAGAGCTGGAAGGGACCTCAAATGTTATCTAGTTCAACTACCTATGAATGCAGGAGATCCATTGCTACAGCTTCCCCGATAGATGGCTGTCCAGCCTTTGCTTAAATACCTCTAAAGTCCAGCACCTCTGGGACGTGTCAGGGAGGTAGGAACAGGTGTTGGGATGAAATACAGTCAAAGAAAAGTTTTCTAAGGCAATATGTTTGAGGCACAAGATGACTTGGACAAAGTAAGGAGAGGAACAGTATTTGTAATTAAATTTGATCAGGGAATTCTGAAATACTTAAACATTGTTCTCAAAATGCATCCAAAAAGAAACTATTATAGAACTGAAAAGTGATAACTATTTATGTAATGTTTTCACATGTGCTAATGCTGGACATTGGAGATTGAGTAATAGATAAGACCATCAGATGAACAAGTGGTCAAAACCATCAGCTATCACTTCATGTTGTAAATGGATTTAAAATCAATAAACTTTAGAAACCATTACGAAAGGAAACAGACATTTTATTTATTTCAAGAGGGAAATGAAGTCCTTCTGCCAACCCTGGTGGCAAGGCCATAAGATAACGAATTAATGCCTGGTGCTACAAGCTGCACACATAAATGTTCCACTTCTTGCTATATGACACAGACCGGTCAGTAGAGAATTCAATGGAATAGTAAGAATGAGCTTCAGAAACTCAATCCTGTTTAAGACTGAATTTAAACTGGTTTCAACAGGTTCACGGAACTATTTGACACATAGATTTTGTATATGCATATTAAAATTGCATTAAAACATGTATTCATTGCTTATTTATTAGGTTTGTATCTTGCCTTTTTTAAAGAGCTTACATCATTCTTCTCTTCCTGTTCTTGATCGTATCCCCACAAAACAACCCTGAGAAATAGGATGGGCTGAGAGTCTTGTGACTGGCCCAAGGTCACCCAGTTAGCTCCATGGCTGAGCAGGGACCAGAACCCAGATCTCCTGAGTCCAGGTTCCGCACTCTTAACCGCTACACCACTCTGGTAGAAAACCTGAGACCCAAAGATATTTTAGGAGAGCCAAAACAACATTGTATTAAGCTACACTACGTTAAAGGTGCCACCTTGGCTGAAAAACTACTTCCATTAAGTACAGTAGCTGGAGAATGCTAGGCATTGCAGGACCTTGTCTAAACATGCATATGCTTGCACCCTAAGTCTCTGTAAACCATTCCAAGAGCAACTGCTTTTAGTCTTTCAGGTTCTGTTGTATTTAAATCCATTACTATATTTTAAAATCTTTACACGGCTGTTGATTTTTACTTTGGTTTTATGTTGCTATGTGTTGTCAGCTGGTCTCCAGTTTATGGTGACCCTGTGAGTGTATGCCGTGTCCTTGATAGTCCTGCTTAATCCTGCTCTGGATTTTTCTCTTCCTAAACATAAATTGCATTGTGTCCAAAAAGTTTTATATTTTATCATGCTGTATTTTAGAGTTTTAATTATTACACACACCCAGACAGCTTTGGCTACTAGAGGATATAGAAGTGTAATTTAAAATAGCAAAACATTTTAACTGTAAACTGTCTGGAATGCCTTTGCCCATGCGGTGTATGAAGCAAATCAAATATTTGGCTTAATCCCCCCAAAATTGAGGCCAAACATGTTAACTACATTTATTTGCATTCATCTCGTTACTCTGGCCTCTTACTGCTCTTACTCAACTGCAGTTGCCTTCCCCTTGCCATATCTAAATTGAGACTGCAGAGTCAAGTGCTATTATTTGGATATTAAGAGTACAACCCTGTGTTCAGTAAACTTACTAAACTCAGTGCAGTTTACATCCATCTGGATATATACCGCAAATGCCTCATCTTGATCTTTGCTATCGTAAGAAATATCCACAGATCTTAAATTTCTCAACATACTTTTTGCTTTGGGAAGAGAATTTATATTCATTGTGTTTTTAAAATTAACTTCAAAAAGTTGTAAAAATGCTGGTCTTATGAACTTATACAAAAACTCACTGAATAATTTAATGGAGAATGAGATACTTACCTTTGTTCAAGCAAACAGTTTTTTGGAGATGAATCTTCCTAAAATAAAACCAAAGTAAATAAATGACAAGTCTTTTCTCATCACTCTGTATTTTGTAGTTAACACGCCAGTTAGCTTGCATTTCTCTCCTTTCCTTGTTTTTAAACCACTTTTTAGAATTTGGTTGGGGTTTCTACCATACAGAAAATACCTACGTATGAACCCTAAATTCCTGACTTTGTTACATGCTCTCCCAACATTCTGCCACATACTAATATTTGGGATAAGAATGAATGGGAAATACAGGTGAAAATGGGGCTGACTTGATAATTTAGCACCTCCATCACCAACTTGGTGCCCCCCCCCATGTGTCTGAGTACAATTCCCATAATTCCTAGTCAGCATGGTGATTTGGGATAGTCAGTTCTTACATTTCTATCTCATCCTTCTAGAGTTCTCAATGTGTTACTGGGCTTTCTTGTTATTCTGACAAAAATCTCTTGTTCCTAAAACTTTAAGATCAGCTAGCCTTAAGTGACCCAAGGACACATGGGGATATTTTGGTCAAAAAATAATTTGAAACCCGCCAAATAACATTGAATTAAGTCAGATGGTACATAGCTGAAACTTGTCCCATTTGATAGAGAAATATGCCCTGATACGATATTTGCTAGAAAGATGTGGTGTATGTATCTAGGTGTATTTTAAAGTATCTTACAGTGTAAGTCATCCTGAGAAACCTTTGTTATACAGGGTCATATAAACATTGTACATATGTAGGGAAATACATATGTATGAGTTTGTAATTTACCTTGAAGTCAAACTCATCACGGGGGCCCTTCCACTTAAATTATTGCTATTACATTTCATTTATATCCTGCATGAAGAACCCATTTTATTCTCCCAACACCACCATGTGATGTACATTAGGCTGAGAGCGAGTGACTGCCCCAAAGTCACCCAGGGAGCTTTATGGCCATGTGGGGACTAGACTACAGATCGCCCGGGTCCCCAGTCCAGCACTCTCACCATCATACCACACTGGCTTTCACATTACATTTCTGTTCAGTAAGGATTTCCAACATAACATTATTGGGATTTTTTTAATGACAAAAAAAGCACATTTGATTGCATTAAGAGGTGAGTGCAGAAGAGAAAGGAGTGGGTTATTGAGCCTTAATGTGCCAATCTGCATAGGAGGGAAGAGAACTAGTGTAAGCAGAGGGGGTTCCTTGGAAGTGAGTTGGCATACTCATCCAGAACTGGAGGTGTTTTGATTTAAAGCTCTGGGGACTGAAAACTGCTACCTTTAAGTTGAGTGGTTCAAAGACTGAGCATCAGCCTAAGCAATTGAGAGGGCAGGATTTAAGTTGTATATAAATACAGTCAATGCAAGCAGTACTTGGCAGTGTCCTAGTACTAAACAAAGGTGCTCAGTGAAGGTTCTTCTAATCACAGCATTAAGGATGATCCATTTGTGGTTGAATAATACAGTTTAAGCTCTCATTTCTTGTATATAGCCAAGCAGCTCTTTCATTCAAGGCTCAATTTCTGTTGCAGGGATACTGCAATAAATCTTTTCCAACACAGAGTATTTCAGCCTTCCTCAAGTTGGTATTCTCCAGATGTTTTGGACAACACTTTTCATCATTAACAGCCAACACAGGCAGTGTTTAGGTATGATGGAAAAAAAATCTGGAGGACACCAGGGCAGCCATGTAAACAATTATCACTGTGTAAAACTGAAGATTTTAGTACAATGTTTACTTTTTTCCCCAGAAGTGTTTTTTTTTATTAACAGAAGCCACTTTGAAGCCAGCTGTAGCAAAAGCCAAGGTGTAAATTCTGTAAATAAATAGTACAACGATGCATTGCCAATTTTCTCAAATATATGTGTCATCCATCGCAGACAAGTAACCTGACTATGCAAATGTACTTTTGTAAAACCCAGTTTGGGTTGAAAATGAAGCATTGCCATATTTTCATGAATGAGATAAATTCTACAATTGTGTGTAACCTGACTAGAAACAATGTAGCTCTATTTTTGAATAAAAATCAGATGCTAGTGATCAGGTACTGAGCTAACAAATCTTTTAAGACAAATCCATTGCATGGGTGACAACAGCCTGAAGTGTGGCTGTGATCTTAGGCACACCTCCTTACGAGTAAACTCCAATGAATTCCATGGGAGCCACTTCTGAATAAATGGGCAATATGATCAGGTTAAGGTCATGTTCAAATGGCAAGTCATTCCAGTTTAATACATATTTAATACCTTCACTGAGGTAGAGGCGACCCAGTGCAGATGCAGCAATGGTATCTCATTTTTGAATGGGAAAGGCCAGGTGGGGCTGACACCCTCTTGAACATTGGCCTTACAGCTACTACTTCCAAATTGAAAAGACTGAATCCTGTAGCACGCCTAACAGGTTCTATTTCTGGGACTTTTATTTCATGAACTCAGCCTCTTGTGCAATAACTAGATATGCACTAGAAATGCCCATAGATAAGGGATACGCTTGCTTTTATGTTCTTTGTCTTTAAATGCTGCTGTTGTTTAATGCATTGCTCTCTTCCATTTCTTAGCTTTGGTGCATTTATTATTATAAATGTTTACATGGATTATGTGAACTCAGCCTAAGATAGGAAATGATTACTTTGGAAAAACACATTAGGCATCACATTTCTTACCGCATTTACCTTATCTTTAACATCATCTTCATTGTGAAGGTGAGGTGAAGGGAATGTATCTGGAGAAACACCTTTCTTTTGACTAAGATTTCCAGGGCTATTTCTTTCAATCAACTGAAGCAGTTCCATTTGTCGTCGAGCTTTCTTTTCTTCTCTTTGCTTTTGCAGACGTTTTGGATACTTTTCTGATGCTGGTATATACCTCCTACAAGGTTTGTTTATGTTCCAGTCTGGTCTTTTTCCATTCCTTTCCACTGCTTTGGTTTGTTTTTGTTTTTGAGCAAATTTTTCATATAGATTGCTGTAACTGACAATATTCTCTTTTTCTGAAATCTTTTTATCTAGATACTGTGCTTCTTTCTTGCATTTTTTGCTGAAGTCCACTTTATATTCTATAGCAATATCTGGAGATGCACAGCCCACTCTTCCTTTCCCAGTTTGTTTACAGAACATTTCAGAATGAGTATGTGCATCAATGTTAATACTCTCTGAAAAACAGAAATACATATTCACACCTTTAAGTAGTTCTTTCAGCACTCTTCTACTAGGTTTATTCAAACAGTGCTTTGATTTGTAGTGACCAATATTAAATACCACTTACTACTCAGGTGTATCTACTCACACTGGACCTGTTCCCACATAATGCAAATGGTTACTGCACAGTTACTTTTCTTGCCTTGTATCAAGAGCTGTTCCCCACTTCTTTCTTTCTAACAACAGACAGTTTGGGGTTCACTGAACCCAGAACTAGAAACTATTTCTGAGAACCCTCATTCTGAGTAACCTCAGACCCCATCCCTCTGGGAGTGCCCCTCTGGAGACAGGTAAGCCTCCAGGCTGTACACAGGCCCCCTACTTGGCTAGCCCCTCCCTCCCAGTGCTATGTCATGGAGTCAAGGATTGGGCCAGGTTCCTTTGGCTTCTCTCCCATGTTTCTTCCTGGTACTTCCACAAATTGTTGGTTCCCTGTGGTGGTTCAGGAAACCAAATGTGCCATTTGTCACCATGCTTCTGGTATTCACACAGAACAACAAGTCACGCCACAACCAAATTCATTGTGGCTAACTCCTGCCTAAATAAAGCTCACACTGGGTTGACAATGGAAGTTGTTCTTCATGGTCTCTGCATCACACATATGAGCTTTCCCAAGAGATGGAACTAATTACCATATCAGTACCAACAGGAACTCCAATCCGAGCACCACTGGCACAGTCGAACCCAAGACCACCACCTTGCTTGGATACACAGTGACCAGAAACGGCTCTACCCACCTCGATCTCTGAGGGTGAAATTCACGATTCCCCAGTCTGTTCGTTACCATGACCAGAATTGCCAGTCAGACAGACAATGAGACCACAAATGGATCCTCAAATACAGCAACATGTCTATCTGGGTTACTCTCAGTAAATGCTTCATTGAGTTCAACAGACTATTCTGTCCATGCCTTTGAACTGGAGAAACATAAGTACAGAAGAAACCCATATTGGACCGGTGGCGAACAGACTGGGGAATCACAAATCTCATCTTCAATATCGAGGTGGGCAAAACCGTCTCTGGTCACTGAGCATCCAAGAAAGGTGGTATTCTCAGGCTCAACCGTACCAATGGTGCTCGAATTGGAGTTCCCATCAGTACCGAAATGGTAATTGCTTCCATCTCTTGGGAAAGCTTGCATGTGCGAATGCACAGATGACCACTTGAAGAATTATAGTTACCGGTAAGCAACCTGGCCTTATTAATACACTTACATCTTGGTCATATACCAGCCACACTTTATAAAACTGACTGGATAAATATTTCCTTCCTACTGGCTCCCAGTTGCTCCATTCAGAAGTACCCTTCAGAACCAGGTACACTTTGCTTTGTACCCTTCAATCTCTGGATGTGTTATTCAGCAACCTCCCCTTTTCCTGACTCTACAGCTACTCCAGAGAGAGGAGATACTGGAGACTTTCATACATCACAACACCATCGTAGCAGTAAGGTAACAACTGTGGCAATTCAGTGAAAACTTCGGTTCATTTATGGGATAGTCTAACATCTAACATTATGGCAGGGATGAGGAACAAGTGGCTCTCCAGATGTTGTCCTAGCTCGGGGCGGGGGGGTATGATGAGTTTATTTCCATCCCTGTGCTACGCAGCATTATCAATTTAATGTTAAATCCAATTTATCAGAAAGTCTCCTGTTTAGTCATTAATGAACGTGGAACTTTGTCCTTGTAAACATCGTGTTTTACTAGCTGTAGTCAAAATACAATACCTAGCCCTATAGATAAGACAAAAGAACATCCTACATGCTGATCTTGTGTACCTGTCTGCACAGCTGTGTCTTTCCGAGGAGACAGAACAGTTTTGACTTCTTGTTTCAATATACTGTCGTTCTCTCCAGAACAGCGATCATGATGATCATCAATATCCAGGAGGCTGTTCAGGTCAGTGCAGTTACTCTCACATGATGCATCACCTAAAAGGAAAGAGAGAAAATGTATACACATAATACTCTTAACTCTTCTCTCATTGATTTTCTATGTTTCCTTATCAGCTTAATGCAGAATCCACAACCTAAATCAATTTGTCGATTTCTAAAAAAAGAATAAAGGAGCTATAAATTACCTCAACATAATTAAAAAGAATTAGAGATTATGGCATCTCTATCCAGCAAGACTAAATTAAACAAATAAATAAATGGGTAAAAAGCTATCAGGAGATGCAAATGCCACCCCAACACAAACATGCCGTTCAAGCAAATGAACAAATACAGGCTTCTTGCTCTTTACAACAAAAGGCTAACTTTAATTGCTCCAGATTTGCCTATGAGGGTTATAGGACAAACTAGCTTTCTGCATTACTCTCCATGAGGATGGTTGTGAAGGAAAACTGGGTGCCGCCTGCCTACCCCACATACAAGCATTTCAGTGTCCTTAACGCCCTGCTGAAAAGTGTGGGTGTACATTCACGTTCATGAAATTCATTTCTTTGTTTTAGCTCATACACTGAGTTGGTTTGACTGTGAACAGGTTAATTAATGTTTGGGCATATTTTTCTTTAATGCCTTATATAGCTGAAGGGCTGCATGTTGGTATCAAGTAAAAGCATATAAATACCTCTATTACCAAGATAAGAATGAATGTTACCAAGCCCCCCAAATGGCAGAATTAAAGGCTGAAGAATTAGGAAAAGCAAGGTGTATTTACATGCAAGGAGGACAAGGAATGTGAACAAGATGCATCAATGGAATTTTAAACAGAAAAACAACAGACAGAGAATTCCATGGAAAGCCTGAAGCCCTGAGGCAAAAGTCATGAAGTCAAGCATTGGTCAAGACATCTGGGGAAAAATCATGTCCTTTAGCATTGGTAAGATGAGTCCAATTAAAGTACAACCTTGACATGCTGTCAACAAGTATGATTTTTTTCCACACTGTGCAAAGGCTTAGGAAATAAAAGAATTTAAAGCATTCAATTTCAGTAAAAATTGCATTTGGTATTTGTATCTCAGTCTCGATAACGTCCTGCAATCCCATCTGCTATTTCTCACACGTCTATCAAAATCCCCAAAAGGGATTTGAAAACGTTTCCATTTCCTTTTCATATGACTCAATAATAGACTTCAGTCTTGATGTATACTGCATTGATATTGCTATCAATGCGCAGAATACAAGAGGATTACCACTGCCTCATGTACCTTACAATCTAAAATGCAACACAGGAGCGAGAACAGAGGACAGAAAGTGAATGGAGGCAGGGGCAGAGTGAAGAAGAACGTGCCATTCTTGCATATATTTAGGCTTAGTTACAGTGGGAATAGCCACCTGAAGGCTGTGCACAAGACATAATGAAAAAGATGGACCTTGGAAATATTTTGCCAAGCATTATAAAAAACACATACATTGTTCTTTGCATGTGGTTATCAAAGAACAATGAAATGTATTTCTAATTAGCTCTGTACAATTACCGCAAATATACCTGGTACTTACCACCACCAAGATTCTTCTGCAATTTGGAAATATCATGCCCCTTCTGAGCAAGATCTTTAATACGCTGTTCCTGTTTCAATCTCTGGGCCAGCTCTTGAGCCTTCTGCATCGTCTGGTATAGCTCATTTGTTTTCAGAGTCATAATTTCCTAACAGGATAAAGATACATAGACATATGAACATTGGGCAAGGGAACAAAAGAATCATAAAGCTATCTTAAGCAAAACTTATTTCTATTCATATTAAGCTATCTGTACAGTAACATACCGTTCCGTGGTTCATCATATGTGGCACATGCACACAGCCCCAAAAGACTCCCTGTTCAAGGCCAAGCAGCTTTTGACAGAAGCAAAATCATTTGGAAACCTCCCTGAGGAACCAACCGACTCGGTGTAGTCTATCATGAAGCTGTGTAATGGCAACAACCCTCAAATCCCAGCACTTCTTGAATACAATATTCTTCCACATTAGTTTTGTTCAATTTCCAGGACATTTTACTACTCTGTACCAGCTTCTGCTTAAGGTCATGAAACGTGCCCTTAAGCAACAAAATTCACTCATAAATAAAATGTACAGGAGTATTGCAGTGATGCCCACTATGCATATGAATTATAACTACAAACTGCTGACCTGTACCACCTCTGAAAAATTCATCCAGACATCTATAGTAAAAAAGTCCCTGTGTTCAGGAAAAAGGGTAAAATATCAGCACTGTTAGCTGAACTGATATATTTAGAATCCTGGCACTCAATTCAGGGAAGCATCAATTCATAACCTTAGAAGACTTGTGTGTGAGGAATCCACCTAACATAGAGATGGTCGAGGCTCTCCCGAAGTTTTGGCCTGCAACTCCCATCAGCCTTAGTCAGCATAGCCAATGGTGAGGATAATGGGAAACATGGGGTGGGGGGGGAGGCACAAGCTACCTATCCCGATCTAAAGCTACCTATCTAAGGAGCACGTTGAGACAAAAACTGCCTCAAAATAGAAGTAACGGAGTTGAATCCAGCTCTGTTGTTCCACCAGCAAATCATATATTGTTGGCAGAATGGAACTTCCCCATCCTTTCTTTCCCCTGAAGTCTCCCAACTGCTAGAACAGATTTGAAGAATACCCAGGAGGAGCCTGGAGGGAGGCGGAGAAGATGGACAAGACCTGTTCTAACAGGGGAACAATGGGTTGTTTGGGTTGACTCTAACCCAAGCATCGCAGCACTGTACAGATATGGCATATGTTTTCACTGAGTATATGTGGTCCATCCCTATATAATCTCCTACAATATAACATTTACTGAACATTTTATTTCAAGTTTCAATTTGGCATAATTTATTCTGATTTGCTAATTGAAGTGGAGGGGGAACTGTAAAAAGAAATCCTCAGGAGCTGGAATTTGCGCAAAATACCATTATTTTCATTTGACACTAATGGCTCAGTTCTCCTAGTGCACTGTGAAATGCCTACTTCTTTTTGCTTTTGTTTGAGCAGATCTTCTTCAAACTGCTTCTTCATCAGTTCTTGTTCCTTGGCAAGCCGGAGCTCTTCTTCTTGCTCTTCCTGCTTTCTTTTTTCCTCCTCAAGTTGTTTCTTCAGCCGTTTTTCTTCCACCTGAGCCATTATGGCTTTCTGGAAAGTTCATGATAAAATGTTCTTGAGAGTTGTAACTAAGTAGGATGTAATGTTTATTACAAACATACACAGAGCAATAGGAACCCACCACCCCAAAAACTCTATAAAACTAAGGCACTGTTGGAATTATCTTCTGTAAGAATTTTTTGCCTTATCTCTTAGTATCTTCTCAGTACAATTAGACTTCTTAAATTTCTCATTCTGGATAATGCTAATTTATGTAGGTCAAGTTTGTTTGTTTTCTGAACAACTGAAGAACTAGACAGTTTATTTTTTATTTTAGAAAACCTCTTCCTCCTTTTTAGTGTCTGTAGCATATAGATTTAATTGTTTTGAAAGGATATTTAAAAAAAACAGTTGCACATCTACATTTGGATTGGACAGGAATGGCATTCAAGCAGAAAATATTTTATGGTGCGTACAACTTAAGCAAGCCTTCGAGAAGAGCTTTAAACTTCAGAAGCAACAGTTAGGAAGTCTTTTTCCTGCTACTATGAAAAAGAACCTTTGGAGTTAGGTAACAATAGCCTTCAGGCCTGGAGCTTACTGGCTCAAGTGACATAAACCAGAATGATTTTGCCTAAGACACCTTGCATTGCTATTTTCTATTTTCATCCCCTCCAAGAACCTAAAGCAAAAAAAAAAAAGTATGAAAGTATATGTGAGGGAGGCAGGAAAAGGCAGTGTAGTGTTTTTTTTACTAATCAACAGCTGAGGATTTGGGAAATGAAGCCTCAGGTATCAAGATATACTATGGTTTATAAATATATATTGTAATATTTTGACTGACTAAAGAAAAGGCTTAAGGAACAACAAAGTGATACAAGGAAACCACTGCTGGTTAGAGAGTTGTGTAATAACTGGAATACTGAAACTCTGAGGGTGATTTCAACTAAGATAAAGAGCCATTTAGTGAAACAGAGATACAAGTCTGTTAACAGTAGGCTTTCAGAAAACCTCATGAAAGTTCAGCTGCAACATCCCAATGAATGATAGATGGAAAAAATAAAGAAAACCAAAGAGGAACACTGCAGCAAAACACATTGATTCTACCTGGTGTTCTAATTGTTTTTGCCGTCGCCGTTCTCTTTCCTCAATTTGAGCAGGATCCAAAAGGGCCGTCATTGAGCGAAGGAAACTATGAGCAGAACAGCATTTAAAAACACACACTATCATTTAAACATACAAACTATTGTGTAATAATAGTATGTATGACATTTGAGGCATGACATTGTGACATGACATTTGTGACATGACATTGTCACAAATGTCATGTCACACACCAACTATTATATGACATTTAATAATGACATTATTATTGCATTTCTATACACCAACTATTATATTTACACCTTTGTTCATTTACACTGATGTACAAATTTTGGGAAGTTATCACCCTCCAAGATAAAATGTGCTAATTCATACATATTTTGATTAGATGAATTAGAAAACAGGTGATAAAGGTGCTGCTTGGCTAAAGTTTTCAAGATGTTTCACAATAAAGATTTATGCACAGGCGAGTATATTTGCCTACAAGGGAGGGAGGTGTCTGATGATCATGACGCCTCATAACTTCTCGACAAAGTATGGTAGAACAATGAAACTGGTACCACATGGAAGTGTATAAATTTATCTTCACTTGAGACTAAAGATTATTACCTAACTGTAATTTATTGTTCTTTTATTGCAAGGTACATTTGTCTTGGTCAGATCTATGAATCATACAGTTACATCTGGTGGCGTGTGAAAGTCTCATTGTCTAACATTTTCAAGGAACAGTTGTGTGATATTTTCCCAGAAAAGCCAAGATGCTTTAAAACTGTGTAAATAAAGCAGATAGCTTCTGCTACATTTATGGCGAGGTTACATTTGCACCTCAAAAGTGCAGTATGATGGCAGTGGTAAAAAAGGCATAGCACCTATATTTTGGATGCAAACTAGGGAATCAGGACAAGAGTTGGGCCCCTCATTATTGTTGTATTACATGTGCAACTTATCTGTGTCATTGGCTAAACAACAAGAAAAAGTCCATGCCTTTCGCAGTCCCAATGGTGTGGAAGGAACCCACCAGTCATAGTAGTGACTGTTATTTTTGCATGGTTCTCCCAATTGCAAAAGGGATCTCAAGAAATAAGAAGTGGACCGTAGAATATCCAAACATTCTACCTGCACAGTGTCCTATACCCCATCATGAGGACTTGTCAATTCCAAATCCACCAGACTCCTACTCTCCAGACTCAGATGATGATAAAGGTGATGAGCAGGATGCAGCTGATCTGGGCAATCGATGTTAGCGGACCCAAACTTTAGCCCACCGTACGCTCCTCCTGAACCCCATCTAATTTCACAGAGTGAACTAAATGACCATTCTCATTGCTATATCACATTTTGCAGAAATGTTATGGAGCATAATAGCACATCTCCCTCATAATTTTGAATTATTTTGATGCAATTTTGACTTGAACCTGTATCTTGGAAACTGGAGCCAATTAATACTCAGGACTTAATTTTCCTTTA